AAAAAAATACAGCCAATTTCTTCTACCAAGTGTCGAACTTTGCGTCGGTGCATTCATGTGTTTCAGTACAAAAAATTTGTATTACTCTTGATGAGAAACATACAAAATAAGGTAGTCTTCGATTTCAAGGATGTTACCTCAACATATTAATACAGAAAGGTAAAGCATGAAATAGACAAACATATTTATTTTTTCAAAAAAAAAATAAAGAAAAAAAAAAGACAAGGAAACTCAATTGGATCTAATTTGTGGAAGAACATGGAACTTGTCTGGATGACATGAAACTTTTCTGAATGAGGTTCTCCTTTATTTTCCATCCCTAAATCAATATTTAGTTTTACAAGTTCCAATACAACTTCTGGTTGAGGTTCTCTTCCATTTTCCATCCCCAAATCAGTACTTACAAGTTCCAACAGAGAAATAGTTGGAAAAGGCTTCAAAAGTTGTCTTTGACAGGCAACAAATTGTTGAAACACATATTTCATTGTTTGTCTGAACTTAGGCTTTGCACGCAAACAAGCCAATGCAAGCATAACAGCAACAACAATACTTTGGGTAAATAAAATGGGACGGACCGGGACCTATCTGACCTTTGTTTGATTCAAAATTCCAACCCTTTCTGTGCCTGAAAAAAGCAAACAAGGAAGGAGAGGGCTGAAATCTCAATATCTGATCCAGGAAAAAACCCTTACCTTAGCAGTGATAGAGATAGCATAGCTGTAGACAGGGGTCTATTCCAATAGCCGGTTAATTCCTCCTTATTTATGCAATTTCGGAAAGAGTTGAATTAGGTAGTAGCTTAAACGCTAAGAAGCTCCAATCCATGCTACTCCAGCTATATGCTAAACACATGCAGGTTGATCAGTTCGCCCTCTCAAATTGAAATTCAATATTTTCAATATTTTAAGGCTAAAGTTCTCTGTTTCGTGGTCAAAGTTCGGAGCTGCGGAAATCTTGCCTCCTGGTCTAAACCTTACCAGTGGTTGGCCCAACCATTCTAAAGTAAGATACAGAAAGAAAAAAACTGAAAAAAAAAAAAGCACCAAAGAACCCCATTCAAGATATCTAGTAAAAGAACCAAAAAACAAAAAAGCTTTACAGTTGTTTCTTTGAACGCAAATATGCCATACAGTAACAGAAACTAATTAAATTGAAAGAAACCCATAACTCGGTTGAGATTCAAGAATGGTCCTTGATACCAAAAACAATAAAGAAGCTTTGAAGCATATAAAAAGTGAACAGAACTTGAAAAAGCACAACTCAAAAATGAGACAAAATTATATATGCTCTCAATCCAAAAGAAAGACCTTCAAAAATAGAAACTCGATTGAAACTTCTTAAATGACATAATTTATTGAACAATTTGATTTACAAAAGATAAACATGGTACATGAACAAAACCAAAACATTCAGACCTTCAAAATTTTCAACTACACACTAACAAAAAAAATGTATATGTAAATAATAACAATATAAAATTGGGCAAAAACCCATGTTAAGCCCCTAAACTTTTTTGACAGCTAGTGATAAGCTCCTGAACTAAAAAAGTGGTAGATAAGTCCTCAAACCCCACGTAAGGAGCAAATTAGCCCCTCCACTAACTGAGCTCTGTCACGCCATTAGTGTAATCACTGGCGTGGCATTTGACATCAAACTGGCTCCAACGTGGCTCCAACGTGGCATCAGTGGTCCATGGGCGGGATGATTCCCGCCTAAACAAAAAACTTTTAGCAATTGAGTGGAGGACACCAAAAAGCTCGTAATGTCGGATACGAGTAGACATTACTAAAGATAACGAAGATCATTATACCATTTTGTGTCCGCATTCTTTACTGCATTTTTCTCAAGAATCGAAAATAGAAGTAAGAAATGATGAAGAATATGGCATACACACCAAAGCAGAGGACGCAACCAATATTCTCTATCCATTATTTTGGTTGGTGATGTTGGCGAGAGACTCCTGGCTGCTTCTTGGCCCTGGAAGCAGCGGCCTTCCCAGTATTCTCCGACAAAGAGGCTTGTCGCTTGGCCAGAGACGACGTCGTCGACGATGACAACGACGAACGGCGATTACCCACAGTCGACTTTCTGTCTGACCAAATATCAAACTCAACTTCAAAATTCAATTCCAAGAACCTCAATCTGCACTAGCTAGAGCTGTACTTCGCAAAGTGGGAATCATGAATTGAAGTGCAGAGAGAAAAAGGATGCAATGGCGCTTCTGTTGTATATTATTATTTTATTAGAAAATGATTTAGAATAAATTTTTTATTTTTTATTTTTGATAAGAATGCTGCGCGTACTTTATTGAATAATATAATCAGGAAGAATACATATCATGAAGCATTATGGTCCCCTGTTACAAGAAAGATGCGCTATGTCAACTGGTACTTCTTCTATCCAGTACTCATTCGCTTCAGCCTGGAGGGCTCGTTTTGCAAGCTCATGGGCAACAGCATTTCCTTCACAACAAATGTGGTTGACTTGGCAATGCAGGAAGGAAGTCATTAGTACTCTACAGTCTGAAAGAACAGCACCGAGAATAAATTTTTTATTACTTTTTTTATAACATTAGGTGTTATTTAAATTATTAATTTTTTTATTTTTTAGACACATGATATTAAATATATTTATTTATTTTTTTAATATTATGTTAAAATTATATATAAAAATTTTTTTAGCATTACCTTAAGACACAAGTTAAAAGTACTAAAAAAATAAAA